ACTCCGGTCAACAGAGATGTGAATTTTAATTCCAACTCTGTCGTGTGCTATTTGATCCTGGGAAAGTTATTAAAACTATCTGAATCTTAATTCTATCCTTTGTGAAATGAGGACGTCACCACTTACGTCAGGGGGTTGTTCCAAAAAACTGAGACTGTGTTCAGTTAGCTTGGTGTTTGGCATGTAGTGAGTGCTCAGTAAGCAGGGCCACTGTCACTACCATGTCGCTACCCCAAAGGGACAGCTCATTATTGGTTTTAGAAATTAAATGGTGATGCCTCAAAAGGTCCTTGGAGGATCAGCCCCATCAGATTCGTACCGGGTCAGAATCAAGGGCCTTGGCCTCTCACACTGACTGCCCACTCTCGCAGTTTAAAATGACACCGTCCTTCTGGCGGACTGTGAGGCACAACCATTCTTCTCCAACCTTCCACACAACCTGCTGAACAAAAGTAACCCGATCAGGTTCTTCTGGTCGGTCTCCCTCTCCCGCCAGCTGTCAGCTTTTCAAAAGAAAAAGCTCCAGCAAGGTGGGAGTGTCCTCTCCACTCCCCAAATCGGCTGCATTTACTTATCGTATCCCGGTTTTTCTCCATAGATGACCTAGTTCTTAAATCCACCTGCCCCTCCTGAAACATAAAAGCCTCAGAGGTCTCCCTTTGAGAAAGGAGACAGAAAAGGGGCAAGTAATGAAAATCAAAATGAAATAAAGTAGATATAAGACAGTAAATGAGCACAAGAGACCCGGGCCTTAGAAACCTGAGGACATTGTGTGGAAATGCAGAGAGACCCTTTTCTCAGTCAGAGGTTTAATGCTTTCTTGTAGAAACTAGCTTCACCTTGCGGCTAGCCAGCTAGTAGCCCCCAGTTACAATGAGGGAACTGCTGTGAGACCATGGCTAACCTCACCATTAAGTGAGCTGACATGACAATTTAAGATTTCCCTCCCCAATTATGTAACTCAAGGGTCTCTATGCGACACCCACAGGTAAGAAAGTTTTCCCTGCCAGAGAGCCAGCGTGGTGCCCTCATTTCTGAGGGACACTGCGCTCGTGATCACATACTGCTGGTTCAGGTAGGGACTGCGGAGCTGCTAATAACACTGCTTAACAACAGCAAGACCTGTAATGATAGCAGCCACCCACTTCCTGAGAGCTGATGTTTCATGTCTCCCACTTAATCCCCACTCTAAGACTGTGAGAGGTCTTACTGCCCCATTTTAGAGATGAAGGACCTGAGGCCCGGTTACATTAAGTAGCTCATCCAAAGCCACGTGGAGGGGCTGGGATTCAAACTCTATCTATATGATGCCAGTGCTGGGCTATGCTTGAAAAACCTTTAACTCCAAGGTGCTACTTTAAAGGGCGTATCTGTGCCCTGCCTTTCCTAAGTTTTTAAATTATTTCACTGTGCAGTCTTCTTACGGATGTATTTTTATTTTTTATTTTTAAAGATTTTATTTGAGAGAGAGAGAGCACAAGGAGGGGGAGAGGCAGAGGCGGGAGGGAGAAGGAGACTCCCCACTGAGCAGGGAGCCCTATTCGGGGCTCAATCTGGGATCATGACCTGAGCCCCTGATCATGGGACCCCGGGGATCATGACCTGAGCCCCTGAGCCGAAGGCAGATGCTTAACCGACTGAGCCACCCAGGTGCCCCTTATGGATGTATTTTAAAACATAATTTGGTTCCTTTAAAATAGCTAGGTCTTGGGTTGATAACTGTTGAAGCTGAGTGATAGGTATATGGGGGTTCATTATATAATTCTACTTTTGTATGTTTTTGACTATCTGTAATAAAAAGTTTGGGTGTTTTTGTGGGTTTTGTGTGTGTGTGTGTGTGTGTGTGTAGTTTTTGAATTGGCTCTTTGGAAATTTGGGTGAGTCGATAGAAATTGCTGGAGCGAGATTTCAACTCTCCCCGATGTCACTGAGCTACAAGAACCCTGACTGCCTTCTACAAATAAGCAGCTGCAGGGCTGTCCCTCCTCAGTGGGTGTCAGTCACTTTTACACGGTGAGACCTGGCTGTTCAGAGTAACTTTTAGACGAAGGCAGAATCTTTCCCAGCCTCCACCCCACCCACGAAGCATGTCTTCTCCGGCCTGGTAGATTTCCCAAGAGGCAGCAGGCTGCTTCGGCAGGCTGCACCCGCACCTCCACCTGGGCTTCCTTACCTGGGACAGCTACCTAAGAAGTTTTCAGGTAGAAAGATTGGGTTGGTCAGGACCACGCCTCCAAACTTGCCAGGAAAAAAAACCAAAAAAAACCAAACCAAAACAAAAACAACAACACAACACAACATCCAGGCAAATAGTTCTAGTTTTCTTACCTGTCCTTCTTTTCCATCAGTGACTTCCATTATTTCGACCCCCCCCCTTTTTTTTTTTTTTACTATTTTAGCCACTTAGGCATAATTCCCTGGCTAAAAACAGGAAATAAGGGGCCACAAAAAAAGTGGGTGAACAGGTCATAATAATCTTTCCTGCTTTTACCTGTCACTCCCACAATACAAACAGGCAGGCCATACACTGAACTCCTCCCTTTCCTGAAGGAAGGGCCAGACTGCGGGGTGGGGTCCGCCAGGGCCCCACTAGGAAAAGGTCAGGAAATTCTGGCACTAGCCTCACAAGGGATAGGTATCCTTTCACATAATTAGGTTTTCCCTCTAATGACAAGAGAGGCTTCACTGGAAAAGACTGGCATGTTCTTGAGTTGGGTCTCTTTGGTTGATGTTGTTTCCATCGTGAGGTGTAAGCCTGGTCCCGGCCCCCTGAAGGTAAAGGGCACAGCAGTGTCACCCAGCACAAACAAGTAAAATGAAAGTAACTTTTCTCTTCGCAAGGAAGGGGAAAACAAAATACCAGAAACTGAAAACAAAACAACAAACAAACAAAACAGGTGAATGTGTGGGAAAGAAGGGCAGCCAAAGAAAACAGGTAACTACCTACATAAAATTTCCTAGAAAAATTCAAGCACACCCTCTATTCTGCCCACTGCATTCCCCCAAAAGCCAGGATAAACTGAGTGGGAAAGGGTGGGCTTTATATGAAAACAAACAAAAAACATCATTCGAGTTCTATTTGTTCTTTAGCTTCAAGATTACTCTCCTTAAATAAAACCAATTTGTTTATCTATCAGTCCATGAGTTTAGTGGCATCATCTTCACAGGCCTAAAGCAGAGTATAACAAAATCTTAAAATGGAGAAAAACCAAACATGTACTCACAGATTGGGGAGCAAGGTATGAAACTGACTAGCCAAAAACCCCTTATAACCCATGGTAGTTCCAGTTCAATAAATACATTTTAAAATAAATAAATATACATACACATACACAAACAACTTAAAAAGCAAAATGAACCCAGTAAGTAAATGCATAGCTGTAATAGAAGGTGTATTTGGTTGGTTGAAAGCAGGTTTCTACGGAGTCCAACTGGCCAGACAGCCACAACCCAAAGTTATCAGCCAGAGAGGAAGGCAGTTCTGGGGTCTGTGCTGTGTGGCAAAACAGCAAGCAATTAACTCAATATTGACCAGTTTAGATATTTAATGGATGGGAGCGCATCATCAAAGAACTCAGCTACTTGCCACCATCTGAACATACAAGGTGATAATTAATTTTAAAAAGTTGTATGGTTAATTCCAGGGTGATTTTATTTCATGGAGAGAAAAACAAAAAAACAACAATATCATGATTTTCCTAGATACCACATAGTGACTGGCACTTTTCATTTCTCTTTTATGACATTATACCCCCCCCAAAAAAGGAAAGAAATCAACAGAAACATACCAAAACATACCCCCATGCCCCTTAAATTAGCAGATTTAAAATTAAAACTTGAAGCAAGGATTTGTTATACTTTGATTCAAACTCTATTTACAAATTAAATTGCACTTACAAAGATAGCAACATTTCTAATATGGTTATTTTGCTTTATTGTGGTTTTATAACTCAATATAAAACTTTTAAAGCTTTCTTCCATAAAAATCATACTTTCTTTTGCAGTACATAATTCATTTATCCACTGAATTTCTGAACCAGTTTTCTCCTTTTGTGCTTTTCTGCTCTCTTTTATTTTATAAATGGCATATACCTTCCAAATAGCTACACTCAGACACTACACTCATAAGAGACTCATTCATAAAAAGTTAAAGTGTAAGACATGAAATATTAGCAGTCTAATCCTTTGGTTCATCTTTTTAAAAAAAACAAATCAACTGATAAAATTTACAAATTGGTGGTAACTCTTCTTTTTGGTTAAAAACGAATCCACCAGATAGATTACTGATTAAAATCCAACACTACTTTAAAAGTAGCACATTCCTAGTCTCATCTCACTGCTCAAGGATGCCACTGCGTACAACTGGTTTGACATGATTCAGGATACAGTAAGGCACAAGTGGATGGTACAAGTGAAAACAAATACTTTAGGACTGCTGTTTTGTTTTTTTTTTTCCTGCACAAATACTAAAATACGTACCGTTTCCAAGATAAAATAACAAAAAAAAACTTTTTTGCTACGAAATACCTATACAAAATTTTTAAATTTACACCATCTGAGCTGCCAAAAAGTTTTTTTAAAAAGGATCAGTTATGCCCCGTACATAAAACTATCTCTCATCAGTAGGTCCAGGAGAACTTGGGCTCAAAATGTCCCAGCACTTTACGGGAGGGAGGAGGATCAACAAAATTTCCCTTCCTGCTCTCCCTTACCCCAACATAAGACAGAAACAAAGGTCAGATGTTTACAGTAGTGTATTCTACTTAGGACAAATGACTGGAAGTCACGGGAAAGGCGGCACACCGGGGGCGCACTGGGTGCCCTGGCTGGCTGAGGAGCCGGAGTAAGGCACTTCCATCGGGAGAGCAGCAGCCCAGCGCACGGCCTGGGCGGTGACGCGCACCTGCGTGCCCACGTTCTGGGGCGGTGACATGCCCGCGCCCGCGTTCCGGGGCGGTGACGCGCACGCGCCCACGTTCCAGGGCGGTGACGCGCACGCGCCCACGTTCCAGGGCAGTGACGCGCACGTGCCCACGTTCCGGGGAAGCTCCAGGACTGCGCGAGGCTCCTCGGTAGGAAGGAGATAGGATCTCAACAGCAGGGGAAGACACGGGAGGTAAAATTCGGAGGTGAAATTCTATACAGAAGTGGTCACTCGGTCAATGGCGTGATTGACCTCGTTTTTGTTTGAATCCAGTCCTTTAGCAGCATTCATGTCATTCCGTAAATTCTCCACTGTCTTTTTCATGTTCTTTAGCTCCCCTGGGTGTGGAGTGGCTCGCCGCAGAAGTGTTCTCTGAAAACAAGCAGGGGAGTGAGTGTGTGGGTTTTATGCCATTCCGCTTTCAAACACGCAGCTTCAAGGTAGGGGCACTCGGGGACAACACTTCCCTTCGCGCGGGCGCAGAAGCTAAGAGCGGCGGAAGCGCTTCCTCAGGAGCCCTGTGCGCTGATGAGCTGCTTACTAGCAGCTCGTGGAAGATGAAGGTGTCGCGTGTAACTTACCGAGTCCACATAGAAGGATTACTTTCAGAATAAAAGAGTACTTTGTAAAATGTAAGATCAGCTTAAGATAAAGTTCCATGAAGGGCAAGGAAACAAAGGTTTTTAAGATGTTAGTGTGGGGTGTGAAGAAAGAAAAAGATAAAGGGGTAAACAAATTCTAACTTAAAATCACTGCCAATGGTCTACTACTATCTGAAGTGGTTCTGGCTTCCTTCAGCCCTGGCGGCATGGGAGTGTAAGGAAAAGGGAAGCGAGAGAGAAGGGCTTCTTTTCTTACTTCGCTGCTGTGTGTGTTGTTCATATTACCTACTAAAGAGAGTTCACATTCTTCTAATAAAGGCCACAGTGCTGGGAGTGAAGTGTCAAGGAAGGGACAATCTTTAAAAAATTGTATTATTTGACATGTCACACACTCTCTGGCTCGTAAGACAGCATTTCCGTCTTGTAAATGGCCTGTGCAGGAGTTTCCGGAGGAGGAGCCTAAGTAGAGTAACACAACACCGCAAGGGCACTACTGGGGCAGTGAAGGAGCTGGTGAAATCCTCACCCTCCAGCAAGCCACCAGGTAAACACTGACGACTCCTTTCTGCTGAAGTCACTTGGTCGTGCCTAATTCCTATTCTGCGCTCCACTGCAGTAAACACGTAAAATCCCATTTGGTGACAGCTGAAATAACGAAGACCACAGGCCATCTTTTGCTTTGGGGGCTGCAGGTACTCCCTCTAAGCTCCGCTTATGAAAATCTCAGCAGTAGGACTTTAAGACGCCCAAGTCAACTTGTAGTAATATTTCAAGAGTTGTCACGGACTCCTGGAGACCTCGGCAGGCCGAGAGACATTTTTAAAGTGTGGATATGTGCTTAGAAATTAGAGTAAGGCTAAGTAGTATTTTCAAATCTATTCCTGATTTTTGGATGAAAACTTGTAAATTAACCCAACTAAGATGGCAAGCACTCCGCCTGAGGGTGAAGAGAATGATTACATAAAGGAGAGAGAGAAGCACAGCTCCACAGAAGGCAAGCCAAGTCACGCTGTAAAGTGTGAATGGAGTCATCATGGTACACCTCTAAATGGTGGTGGGAAAGAGACTTCATTCACCAAGAACAACAAAAACAGAACAAAATCCCAATCAGTTCAGTGGAGCTGAAAAGGGATGCTATCACAAATAAAGAATTAAGAGTATAAACTATTCAAGAAAAAAACCCAAAAGTTCCATTTGCTTTATATACATTTGGTGAATCAGTACCTAGAAATACCTAATTTTGTCTTCTAAAAAACTTCTTATAATGCTAAAGGCAAAGCAGAGAACAATTTGAAATGAACAGAAATCCTTATTAGGTGCCACTCTTGATCTTGGAAAGGTTTTAAATTTTGAATTTTCAGGGAGGCCAACAATCTCCATTTCCATACCGTTTCATTGTCTTCTTCGTCTCTTTCATCTTCCAGAAATCGGATTGCACTGACTCTGTTGACCGCACGCTCATTCCAGGCCTCATCTGGGACATCATTCACCAAGCTCTCCAGTGCCCCACAGCGAGGCAGGTTCTCTGTCATGGCAAAGACCACATCAGCTGGGAACCTGGGTTTGTGTGACTGGTAACTGCTGCTATGTAGTATTTCAAAAAATTTAAAACAAAAAGAAAAAAATCTGGGACAGGGTTACCCTTTCTTTTCAATGATGCATAATTCTATTTGAGATCATATAAAATATCTGCTAAATTAATATTTAGTATCTCATTACAGAATGTCATCATAATTTATAGAATCCTTTTTCACAATTCTTTTCTATATACTAACTAAAAAACTTTCTCATGAGGGGTGCCTGGGTGGCTCAGTGGGTTAAGCATCTGATTCTTGATCTCAGCTCAGGTTTTGATCTCAGCATCATGAGTTCAGGCCCCATGTTGGGCTCCACATTGAGCGTGGAGCCTTCTTAAAAACGAAAGAAAAAAAATAAAAAGCCTTTCACATGACGGTGATGTGGCTGCACCTGACGGACACTAGTACTTTCCTTAGTAACATGTTCCGCTGTTTTCCCCTTGGGGTCTTCAAAGCTCCTCTAACAAGGCTGGGATTGGCAAGATGATTTTGCGGCCTTTCCACCTGGGGACTCCTATTCTCCCAGAGCACTCAAGTTCTCTTCTATCAAAACCAGCTCTCAGCAAAAGATTTATAATGGCAATTTGGTGTTAGTGCAAATATTTTTTAAAACCACACATAATTTACAAAACAAAGATACAATGACTTAAAATAACAGATTGGCTTAAAAACTATTTGTCAGTGGGGGGCGCCTGGGTGGCTCAGTCAGTTAAACACTGACTCTTGATTTCAGCTCGGGTCATGATTTCAGGGTAGTGAGATCAAGTCCTGGTCAGGCTCTGCGCTCAGTGTGGAGTTGCCTTGAGATCTCTCTCCCTCTCCCTTTGCCCCTCCCACTCGTGTTCTATCTCTCTAAAATAAATAAATAAATAAATAAATCTTAAAAAAAAAACCAAAAACTGTTTGTCAATGGTGTTCAATACTAACCCTCTAAACCACCAGTCTGGATTTTAAGGGACTCTGTCAACTTTTTTAAGAGTATTTGTACTTTCAGCCTTAGTGATAATTCAAACCCAAAAGTCTGTTTAAGGAATTTCAGGTATGATAAGCTGATGTGAGGGGTACTTTTTTTTGAAGGTGCAGGGGAACGAACCTTCCCAGAGGACACCCACAGTGACCTCACCCGGGCTAGGGGCACATTAGACAAATTACAGACACACGTGGGAGTAAGAGGTCTTACAGATAGGTATTAGCTCCTACTAATTCTTGTAGCCATATGAGTATTGTTCTTAATTTCACCTTGGCAAGTAGGTTCAGAAGGCAGCTGAGGAAGCAAGACACAGGTCAAAATCTTCTCTCCTGTGGTGTGATCTGTGTCCGTCTGGAATGTGAGCAGGGGCTGGGATTGGTTGTCAGACAACCACAAAGCCTTCAGCTTCAGGGCGGTCAGGGATAAAGGCAGATGTAACAGCCTAATTTAAAACAAAAGAAGACATCAAGGTCTCAGATTTTATAATTACATCAATCCCTATCAATACAGATAGAAAAAAACCATTACAAAGAACCTCATGGATTCAACATGGAACAAGATGTTATGTTTATAATAAAATCCTTGGTGAACTCTTTGTGAGCACACCTCAGTCCGTCACTGTGCTTCCCTCTTCTGCTGTCATGTCTCTCATCAGCACCTCCGGCCACAGGGCAAAACGTTAGGAGGTTTCGATTTAAAGAGGAAAAAAAGCCAGTGTGACTGTGGAAGGACCCAGAAGCAGGAGTTCTAAGTCAATGGCAAAAGCCTCCCTGACGATGACCTGTTTTCAGTAGCACTTGGCAAATGAGGAAGAGTGGAAGGAGATGCCTAGGGTGCTAAAGAGTTTAAGTGGCAGTTATAATAAAGATTAAAACATTTTCTTCCTGCACTGCATTTTCTTTCTCTAAGGAGATTATTTTAGGTATCCATGTTAAACTTGTATCTTCTAGTTTCTAGAAGCTCCCACTTTCCCCAGACTCCTATGTGATAATTAATGTCCACTTCACATTGTTTCAGTTTCAAATGAGATCGTATATATTAAAGCTTTAAAAACCGTAATGTGACACCCAAAGATTAATTTTATATTAATGTTCGCACACATGTCTGACAGAGTGGCTGCACCCACGTAACTCTATTTAGCAAAGACCAGCACTGGGAATCATATATAGTGTGTACTTACTTGCCAAAGATTACTTTAGTGCAGTGGTTCTTAACCAGGGGCGCTTCTGCCCCAGGGACATCTGGCAACGTCTGTACATATTTTTGGGCGGTGCTGTTGGCATCTAGTGGGTAGAGGCCAGGGATGTTGCTAACATCCTATAATGCATAGGACAGCCTCCACAACAAAGAATTACCTGGCCCAAAATGCTAACAGGGCTGGGGGTGAAAAGACTGCTTTAGTAAAAACCAATGCTTTATACAAGTCTACTAATGCACTGTGAAAACAACCAAACCTCTGCAGATACCAGGAATTTAAGGTTTAATGCACCTAAGGTTGTATTTGATCAAGTATTTTTACTCTAAAGATGGCTCCATGTGCATTAAATTACAATCTCAGCAGTGACTTCACAAGCTGGACAGTAATGAGCTCACTGCATTCCGTGAGCCACAAGATGAGGCACATTTTCTGAAAAGAAATCCCTGGCCGATGAATTCCATAAAAAGTCATATGGCAGGGGTGCCTGGGTGGCTCAGTCATTAAGCGTCTGCCTTCGGCTCAGGTCATGATCCCAGGGTCCTGGGATCGAGCCCCGCATCGGGCTCCCTGCTCCGCGGGAAGCCTGCTTCTCCCTCTCCCACTCCCCCTGCTTGTGTTCCTGCTCTCGCTGTGTCTCTGTCAAATAAATAAATAAAAATCTTAAAAAAAAAAAAAAAAAGAAATCATATGGCAGCATGTATTGCTGGGGCTCTTTCTTTTATGAACTTGCACACCTATTTCCAGTTTAACACATGTGGGAGGTCTACCTATACATCTTACCGAGAGATCAGTACTGCATTATCAGACAGAGATACCATTCAGAATGGGCAGGCTTATGGAAAACTAACTTTAACTCTATGTAGGGATATGAAGAGAAGTTGTACTCCAATATTACTAAACTAAATAAAATGTAAGCACAGAATGTTGTTACCTTAATAAATGAAGTAAAATTTATCAAAGAGTGCATGGAGAGTGTTAACAACAAATGCATTATTAACAAACTTTTCACAAGAACAAATTAATATGTCTTACAAAATACTTCCAATATACAAGTTACGGAGATGACAAAATATTTTCTTTTCCTAACAGTTAGTCCAGCAAAGGCTGGTCCATCCCACACATACGTGCTGGGTGCAGTACTGAGTCAGTGGAATTGTACCTTATGTGGGAGTTAGGTTTTAAAGTCAATGCACCGACGAGACTTCCATGTGTTAAAGTACCCTTGAAAAGTCTCTGTGTATTATACATTCTAATACTTTGCTCTTAAGGGCCGAACTGAGTGAGAAATAGGTGTTTTTAAATCCCAGAATCTACCGAGTTCAGTGACAGGACGCCCAAGGGATCTGAGGAAGCAGAGGCTTTACAGCTCCACTTCCTATTCTGAGGTGTTGGGTCTTTGAGCGAGATAGAAAGTGAAATCTCTTATGCTTATACAACAAATTATTCCTGCCTCTGCCCAAAGGCTGTCACACATTTACTCAAATGCAAGGAAGTTAAAGACACAGACGTGTATTTGCCAGACCTGGTGACAGGGATTTTTTTAAAAGAGTAGCCTAACACACTGTGAAAGCTTCCAGTACTTTAAAACTCTTTTTCATTTTATTGAACAAAGGGATAATTCTTTTGAAATTTTCAGGGTCTTACACAAGATATTTACAGTCAGTATCTCTAGATTTCTTAATCATGAGAGCTTAAAGAAAAAAATATTAAGATTCGAAAACTGGCACAAAACACAAATACTCAAACATAGCCATCATACCTTCTCAGAATAACTGGCTTTGCAGCTAAGTGCTAAAGCAAAGGCATAAATAAAGGGCTAAACAGAGCGTCAGTAATAAATAACAGCTTTTAAGGATAACAATCATACGGTAAAAGTTAAAATAAATTACTAGACTCTACAACAACAGATCTTATAATCACATTCAACCAAGCCATATAAGATTAGTGACTTGTCTAGAACATCAATTTCCCTGTAAAGAATCAGAGGGCCAGCTTGAACATGGTGGTTGCCAAACGAGCACATACCACACATGAGTTTGTTGATTAAGTGTCCCATGGAGGGGTGCTCCAGTAGTGTCAAAGACAAAAAAGAAAACAAAAGTGCTCTGTTCCCTGCCCAGTCTGTATATGGAGATTCTGCAGTCTGAGCTAACCCCCACTGATTCACTGCTACTTGGGGCAGAAAATATACATTACACACACTCCTCTGTTTCTCTTAGGGGAACCATCCCAGATAAAAGTGTGTGTGTATGTGTGTGTGTATACATATATATATTCCTGCTTTTCAGAGGAGTTAAAAATACATTTTTGGTTTATTCTGGTACCTTCTGTACACTGCAGAATCAACACAAAAAAACCACAGTCCTATTTGTACACATCTCACATCTCCCTGTTTTATAGAGGACCACATCCCCTCAAAATAAAAAGCCTGTGGTTACTATTTACATCAATGGTACAAGGACTAAAGCAAATGAATAACCACACCATGAGCCAAGCCTCTCATTTCCAGTTAAATCCCTGACCAACTAACCTGAGGTGACCTTCCCCACCTCTGCACTGCTGTAGTGACCGTGCTGTCAAATTTATTTAACAACTACACATGGCCAACTGGATCAATGCAATACTGACTTAACCTATAGTTGCATGCTTCTTACAACCGAATGTTTTTACCTCCTACTAGAATTTTTAGTTTTACCTCCTACCTCCTACTAGAATTTTTACCTCCTACTAGAATTTTGTTTTAAGCAAAGTTTTCAAAACTGTTTAAAGATATATAGAGAAAACATAATCGGTGGGAAAATTTAAGTAATACCAAAATATCTAAAGGGAAAGCCCCCTGTAACCTCAAGCCTCCACTCTGCCTCTAGGGGAACTATTATTAATGTTTTGTTGTACTGTATAGATACGTTGTTTTAAAAGCAAAAACAAAAATAAGAGTGCTATGTACTGTCCAAGAGCTGTTCTTTTTATTTGGTACCATGGGCCTCCTGTGTCACTACACAGAAAAATTATCTCCCTCTTTAACTGCTTACTATTCCACAGTATAGCTACACTGCCATGTTGTGTTTTGTCTTTTAATATTTTTTCTCAGTTTTACTGAGCTATAATTGCCATGTAATATTGTGTAACTTTAAGGTGTTATATATATATTATATATACATATATATTATATATATATTCCTAAAGTGACTACCACAGTAGAGTTAGTTAACACCTCCATCCAGTCATATAATCACCAACTTTTTGTGTGTGTGTTTATGTGTGTATGTGTGTGTCGAGACCATTCAAAGATCTATTCACTCGGCAACTTTCAAGGATATAAGGTGGTATTGTTAACTACAGTCACCAGTTAGGTCCCCAGAACTTACTCATCTTATAACTGGGAATTGGTACCCACTGATCAATACCTCCCTATCTCCCCCACTCTTAGGCCCTGGTGACTGCCATTCTACTCTCTATTTCTAGGAATTTGACTTCTTTAGATTTCACATGTGAGATCAGACAGGATTTGTCTTTTTCTGTGTGACTTATTTCACTTAGCATAATGCCCTCAAGGGCCATCCATATTGTCATAAATAATATGGTTTTTTTCTTTCTTATGGCTGAATAATATTCCATTATATATATCACACCACATCTTCTTTATCCATTCATTCATCTGCTGATGATGTTTAGGTTGTTTCCATATCTTGGCTACTGTGAATGGTACAAGGACTAAAGCAATGCTGCAGTGAACATGGGAGTGCAGATCTCTCTTCAATATCCTGTTTTCATTTCCTTTGGCTATATACCAGAAGTGGGATCACTATAGCATATGATGGTTATATTTTTAATTTTTTGAGGAACCTCCATACTGTTTTCTCTAGTGGCTATGCCAATTTACCTTCCCACCAGCAGAGCACAGGGGTTCCCCTGTCTCCACATCCTTACTAACACTTGTTATCTCTTGTCTTTTTAACAACATCCACTCTAACAGCTGTGAGGTAATATGTTTTAATATTTTTAGATCTAATTTTTGGGGTTATAAAATTCAAAGGTATGAACTATTTCCCCATTGGTAGTCACTGTTTCTAGTATTCGGTACTACTCCTCCTCAAAGATCCTCAAATACTAGATATTGTGTAGTGGGTGGATATTCCTATGGGAAAAATTAAGAATTAAGGAAATGGATTCTGTGTCCATGGGTAGCTGCTGATAAAAGACATCTTCTCTGTTACTGTACCACAAGATTTGATACTTAGTTTCCAAGTGGCATTTTATAGTTACCCTATCAAACTTGTCAAAGAAAATTTGTGGAAACTAACATATAGTCTGTGTCATTTGCTATTTTTATATGCTTGAGAGAAGAGGCAAAAACTTCTCTTGTATGTGGTATGATTTCCCATGGTATAACATTTCTGCAAGCTAAAAAGCTGACATCATAGCCTTTTTTTTTATTAGTTTCTATACTAATACTTTAAATAAGTAGTAATTAAATATTTTAATAGGTTTAAAATTTGGTTATGAATCTGTATATACATGTGACACATTTAACTGACTCAGATGACAGCTATGTAACTCTACTTTTTAATGGGGTTTTCTCCACCCCAGCCCAAGCATAATAAAAATTCAACTTTCCCTTCTGAGAACTAGAGATTGGAGGCTTCACTCATGTGAAAAACAGTTTTCAGGCTCAAGAATTAGTGGTGCAATTTCATGCTCACAGGTGTGGCAAGAATCTGGGAAGGTTTGGAGTCACTGAGTTTCTACTGCTGGAGTTTAGGAAAGAACCACCCTTCCCAAGCTCTATGCTTCACGTGAGACTCCATCCAGCAAAAAGTCAACGCTCAACTCAAATTAACCCTGAGTTTCCGGTATCCAGTCAGTGGTTCAAGAATCTATGAAGATGTCCTGAAAGCCTTCGCTTGAAAATGGTGGGCGTTCCCTGCGGCCCGCTGAGTCCTGCTATTTATTAGCACCACTACCTAAATCCATTAGCCAGAATGAGAAATGGTGGCTTGTGCCTGACCTAAGGGACCAGTTAAACAGCACTTAGCACACAATCCCCCAAACACTCTTCTGACTGCTGCTACTATCTCTCATTTAAAGTCATTGATTATTTTCCCCGGGCTGAGCACTTTTTCTCCTAACTATATAACACTCGGAAGCATTTTTTAAATTCCTTTGGTGATGCAGCCTGTGATACAAAGCATTTCCCAGTGGCCTACTATTCACTCTGCAAAACTAACACTTTTAACATTTTCATTTGGGCGATAAATATCTACCAGGCTTCTATCATGTGTCAGGCACTGTGCGGGGATAAATGGTACAGCGGCACAGATGCCACATCTGACTTCGCGCACGCACCTTTAGGTTCAGATGGTCACACACGCGTAAGCTGGCAATTATCATACGGTGCTGTCAGTGCTATGTTAGGGGGAATTCAAAGGAGCAGGCTCCATGCAAAGAAAGCTCCCCGGAGGAAATGAAAACATGAGTGATGAGAGATAAAAGCGGGAGTCAGAGAGAGGGGGTCCCAGGCAGAAAGAGTAGCTGGGCTAGGCTAGGGGAAAGAAAGTGCATATGCGATCTGAGGTGACGAAATCAGTTCAGACTGGCTGAAACAAATCCATAGTCTAAACAGGTGAAGAGAAGGAACATTCCAAAACCAGGGAGCAGTCTACCATGACCTCTGACCTCAGAACTTGAGAAATGGCACTGCTGTGACCTTGGGGAATACCAGTCAGGTAGCTCTTCATTTGGATTATGACCACTTGGTGATTCTGACATTAGCTGGGGATCCTTTGGCCAGAAAAGTGTCCCTGAATATAATTTTGTTTACAATTTCAAGGGGTTCAGAATCACCAGCAGAGCACATCAAGACTCCTGGTTAAAATCTAGTTCAAACTCATTCAAGCTCATCCTTCAGATGAGGAAACCCAGAGGCTCACGATGACTTACAAAAGCTATCAAAGTTAAGGTAAAACCTAAGTATCCCAGTTCTCAGGCAGCGCTGTTGCCCTTACATCACTGTATGCTGTTCTGGGAAGCATTTCTACAGAAGCGTCCACTTAAACTTCAAAGTGCCCTGCACTCAGGCCATCCCTGACCTCTCTGCCCCCCGATCCAGATCCATCACTCCTGCTCTCAGATTAACAACTTTCTGGGCTCTGGGTCATTCGACTAATTGCTACATATTCCATAAGATGGAGCAAAGGCAATATGGCAAAGACGCATGACAAAGGCTGGAGTGGATGAACATCTGGCTCTTTTTCTCAAAAAAAGCAAACCAGAACATGCTTACCTGTTCCCTGCCACATCCAGGACATGAAGCTCTGTGGCCTGAGACACCTCCGCAGGTATCCGAGTTAGTCTATTGTCACGCACACAGAACACAGTGAGGCTGCAGCACCCTCCAATCTACAATGAGAAAGAAAATACATCTTTTTTCCAGGTTTTTGTGGAAGATGGTGGTGGGACTGGAGTATCTTGTTTGTCAAATGGCATGAAAAGAACGCATAAAATGATACCACATGATTTTAAGTTTCACTGAGGCCAACTATGATTAATTTAAATCATATAAACATTAAGTAGTCCAGTAAGTTCATAAAAATCTCTACAATATGTTAAATGTACATATTCTAAATTAAATCAAGAAAATAAACAGTACAGTTCAAAAATCTCATTCTGAAAAGCAAGTCATTTTCCACTGCTATCCAAATAGCAACTGTATCTTTTAAATACTAACTAAGCTACCCAGGTCCAGATAAATATTATTTGGTAGATTAAGAATTCTAAGTTTCGAAAATAAGGCCAACAATGATACATGCACACCCCTTTGAAGACTTGCCCATTATATTAAATCCAGTGTTCCCAGTGTCTCAGTTCATTTCAAAAAACAAAAAAAGGAAAAAGGTATCAGATAGACAATACAGTACATTAATTTTCCACCATACATCTTTTAATTGCTTTTGGTCATTCACAACTTAACTTGGTAAATTCATTATTCATTTTCCTTTCACAAATGCAAAATCAACAATATTTTAGCAAAAACTGAATGTGGTAAATACACACATTAATCTGGTCAATTTAATGCTGGTAGAAACATATCAATATCAACATCCATACCAAATTTGATTACTATTAATTTATTTACTTATTTAGGAAGTGATTCAAAGGTAATTGAGCTTTGTATGAGCCTGGTCTTCAAAAAAGAACATAAGCACAAAAGAACTGAACCATTCTCTTGAACAAACTGGCCACGGTTTCTATGGTCAGGAAAGCTGACTCAAGGGGGTGGAAAAATAACTCAATCTCAGACACAACATTCTGCAGGACTCCATACAGTACTACATTCTTCCTGTACTCACTGTCCTGACCCAGAGTGATTGCAAGAAAAGGCTCATGAAGGAACCTATTGATGTCTCTCTGACACATGGAAAAATACTCCACAGCTTCCCACTTGAGGAGAGGCAGGAGATTTGCATCTTTAATGATATCTGGGTACATCTTATGCCCTCTTCTATGTATACATGTGTTTAATATATGTATGTACCTTAAAAAAGCAGAATGCATATTTATGACATTGCTACATAATTATGAACATTTGGCTTTTTATGAAATAAAAATTATGCTACATAATTATGAACATTACCTTCATGAACAATCTTATTATGTCTTCCCTTAGGAGTTAACATAAAGACTTGAGATCATGTATTTAACCAGAGTACTTAACCATAATGGATGTAAAAGAAAAATAAACATAAAAGAAAACACGAACTAACGTTTGTCTAAAATGGAAAACACCCAGATATGTAGAAAGGCTTTTAGACTGTCCCCATAATTTCTGAGTATTCACATTTCCCATCCCAGTAAAACTGGTGCATTCACTGCCCTCTAAAATATAACATTTTGGTCTCACTGTGTCTTATAGAAATGCTCTTCTTTTTTCTGTCCTTCTAAATCTTACCAACTGCCCCAAAGTAGCTAAACATCCTCTACACCATCGAGTCTTCCCCAAACCCCACATTCCATATTGATACACTGCTCTCTGCATTTCTTTTGTAATTATGACCTATACAAACCCTCTGAGAGATTGTTTCACTGAGATGTTTAACTTGTACGTGTCCATAAAACCAGGGTGCTTGGCAAGTACAGTACCCATCCTACCTACCTGCCGACTTTTCTCATTTAGATATGTTTATACGCTTACGTTTATTTATTTACTAGTGAAAGGCTGCTACTTGGAAGTTAACATCTGCTTCTACGTGTAGAAATGAAAACCACAAAACCCTTCTTTTTTGTATTAAGAATCATCAGAGAGGCCTCTCTTAGGTTTTATGAATACAGGGCCCCAAAATCATGCCCTAAAAGAGATATACAACAGGATCTTTGAGGGGCTTGGCATTCTTCCCTCTTGAGGAAGGGAATCACCAGTTTAACTCGGATGCCCAGGACTATTATGGAAGGAATCAAAATTTCAAATCTTTTGAGGATGGACATGATTAGATTTTCTCTGATAAACTGAGATGATCCCAACAAAGATCTATTCATGGGAAGAAATCCCCAAGCTCCTCATGGAGGGGAACCCCCCATGACCCTGCTCCATGTGCAATGGGCTCTGGGCTCAGTGGTGGGTCTGTGTGCCACGTGGGAGGTCTTCCAGTTCAGCACGTGGCTGAGGCTGGACCTCACCTTAACCTTATCATCCTGGCCTGGCTATAAAGACATAAGATTTATCTGTACTCCAGGGAGGCAAAGCAGTTATGCACATACACAACCCTCACAGTGGCAAAATAAGCTACTGGAGTGTGTATAGAGCTGAAACTGCATCATAATTGTGGGCACTCTGTCATGAAGCTGCCCACTGCTCCAGCCACCTGTAGGATATCTGTTTTGGGGCCCTAATACTATACCATGTGAACATTTTCAATTTGTATCATGTACATATAATATCTATCAAAAAAACAATTAACTCATTAAAATGGGTCAGAGAGGGCTCTAACAGTTGTTGGAGCAATAAAAGTTCTGGACAAGTAAACACCCCTTAAGTCTTTTGCGGCGGGGGGGGGGGGGGAATAATGTGAACTCCCAATGGAATGTGTGAGCTGTCGACTGTGTTTATAGTCTCATTTATTTATTTTTTCTTTTTCCTTTCCCATTCTAATCTCAAACCCATTTGAGACCTCAAGGGGTGGAAAGCAATTGTATTCAAGAGCCTCGTAGGCACTCTGGGTTGTCACAGCAGGCAGAGTGACCTCCTGATCTCTATTGTCGAAGGGTTTCAGAAAACAATGAAACAATGCCAACAAAGAGCGAGTGTTATTGCCCAGTGTGCCGGGACGCCTTTATCACCCTCAGAGGCACGCACTGTCCCAGGCAAAACAGTGCACTAACAGAGACCTCTTTCCAAATCAGCCAGGAAGGCATGGCACGAGCCTTTGGCTTTCAGAGAGGATTATTAAGCAGTAAAAGCCATAACTCAAAAGGTATAGTTCTTCATAGACATCAGAGAGGAATGTGGTGCACTGGAGCAGGATGCTCTGGGATCACAAAGACCTGGGCTGGAACTAAGGATCAGTCCTGTGTTTTGTGTGTTAGACTATGTTACTTTAACCAAAAGTAACAATCAGGATCAAATTATATGAAACCACAAACACAATTTAGAACCTATCATAGAACCTGGCCTAATAAATGTGGCTGGCAAACCAATGTGACAGTTACTGTCTTTTCAAGAAGTCCAAGTCCCGGATCCAAAGGACCAGTGCAGTCAACACTTGCGTGCCTGCTGTGTTGTTGGAAGTGTGCTGACCCTGGTGAGCTCCTCCCAGAACACACCTGACCTTCTTAAAGATCTCTCCCTGGCAATGCATCATGGTGACAAAATGACAAAATGTCACTGTGGAAAATACTAGGGATAAATACACCGTGACTTTACTGCTAGTGAAGCACTGGTGTGAGCTCAGTATTCTAGTCTACATATGGTTCATGTGTATTTCTGTTTTCTCTCTCGGGTTCAGGAGGGACAGTTTACAGCGTCCTTAGTGTTCATCAGGATAAAATGCCTGTATCACTTAGAAATTCTGGGAAGCAGAGTCACTGTTTAAATAACTTGTTACCATCTATGTAGGAAGCTGGTATTTTTAAACTTCCTTAAACCACATAATAGCACCTTCCCAGAATACAAGGGATTGGACTTGGAGAACTACAGAATGTAGCTGAGAATCTTTGTTTTGCTGGTTTGTGTCTCTTAATTCCAGACGATACCTTCCTTCACTATTTGTACCTCATTTAACCCATCTTGAGGAGATGCAACCTGCAGGTCATTGAGCAAACCCTGAGTCGGGTCAGCTGCGCTAAGTATTAATTGCCTGCAGGTGACATTACTCAAGAAGAGATAATCACTGTCAGTGATCCAAAGAGAAAGCCTATATTAGTCATCCTTGTCTACCTATATTCCACTTTCTGAACACCTGCCCCAAGTGTGAAGAAACTTTCATTTTTCCTTCACTATCTGCCTTTTAATATTCTATATGTAACAGAATGGAACCCACATTTCACTGGCAGAAAGGAAAACGTACAATAAGTGAAATCTGGTCAAAATACAATTTGAGCTGTAATAATATGGTGAGTAATTTTAGAAACCAAAGACTGTTTTTTGCCTTTCCCATCATCATCTGTGGCATATTATTCGAATGTTCCTATTTCATAAATATTTTGGAAATCATGTGGCTTTGGGACTTCCTGAGTTGTTGGGCCCCTGACATCGAAATATCCACTAACAGCTACGGCATTCTTCATTTCTAATTATAAAAAAGTTATGTTGACTGAAAAATAAAAACCATATATACACACACATAAAGGCACAAGGAAAAAACTCAGACCAACCCTACCCCAAAGGGATAATTGGTATTAACATTCTGAAGTACAATCTTCCGGTATTATTGCCACGCACTTGTGACTATATACATACATACACACTTCGATGGAATTAGGACCAACACTATGATCTTCAGCACTTCTGTTTACACATGACACCAGGAACATCCTCCCACATCATTATGTTTCTAAAAGGACTTTTATTGACCACATAACTATTTCGTTCTACAGACGTCTCGCAGATCACAAATCTCCCACATTAGATGCTGATAGTTGGTTCTACCATGTCTTTCCTGTGTAATCTTGGGCAAGTTACTTCAGCTGAGTCTGGGTTTCCAGGACTCTTGGATGTTGATAACGACTTACCCACACCTCACAGGACTGTTGTGAAGATTAGACACGAATATGCGGGAAAGCGCAGTACCTGGCAGTGCGTGTGAGCTGCCCCTGTATGTGTACCTGTTAGCTGCCCCTACATATACATGAGAAATATTCTTGTGCATGGTTTTCATGTGTACCACAACTATGTTCCTAGGACAAAGCCCTAGAAGTGGCATTGCAGAATCAAAGGGTATGAACACTTTCAAAGGATCCTTCAATATGTGTTCCCTTCCAGAAGACATAATAATTTATACTTCCATATTATCTATGCATTTTCCTGTGCCCTCGCCAACATCTGGTATCATTTTTTTTTTTAAATCTTGACAATTTGATAGGTCAAAAAGCTTCTATTAACATTTCTGTGAATACTGATGGGAGTAAAATTTTTTCACATCGATAGCCATTTCTATTTTTTTTCTCTAAATCACTTATTGTTTATTGTGGTGGGTTCTTTGCTTTAATTTTTGTCCACTTTTCTCTAGTGGGAACATCTTTTTCTCAATGATCGGGAAGGATTTCGAATAGAATGAGGAGAGACCTCTTCATCTGTAATGTTGTAAGACCCTGGCCCCCAGGCTGTCTTTACCTTCTTGAAGACCAGAAATCTAATTTTCACATAGACAAATCTACCAACTTGTTGTTTTTTTTAGGACTTGTTTCCTCTTTCAAGTTTGGGAATGCCTTCTCCATTTTGAAATCCAATGGCCAACCATATTTTATTCTAGTATTTTTAGGTTTTATCTTATCTCTTTCATTAATAATCCGTTTTAGAATATGATGGAAGCTTACACTAAATTGTAATAAGAAGACAGAAAGCTATCCATAAAACGAATTCTGTATCATCACAGACACTTCTGAAAATTACAATATTTATGGGTAATTAACATTTACAGAGTGCCTGATTTAAAACAAAAACAAGCTTTGATAAATGATCTGCAAATCCTATCTTTTGACTGGGTAAGTGTGATGGAGTCAAGACCACTTTCACTTTAACTTAATGGAGACAAAAGACTGGACTCTAAACTTGGACACATGCTCAATTTCTTCCAGCCAGAAACTCTTTAGATGGTGCAGGTTGTTCAAAGGTAAGATTTGGCTGGGGAATATTATGAAGTTGCTGGCTCTCTTTCATCATACTCACAATCACACATAAACCAACTCCCTGTCTATCCATGCATCACAGAATGCAGTCTCTTCTTAATTCTTCCCTCCACCAAAAACGTTAAGTTTTTTAGGGAGCCTTCTTTCCCCCAGAAGCATACACACTTACATGACAGGATGAGAAATAAAAGATACAAATAAGTTGCTTGAAAAATCAGAAGCATGCCACATGTAGCAAATAAAGCAAATCTAGCCTTTCCATTGGAGAGAGAATTATGCTGACAAACCGGAATTTAGTGAGGACAGATGAGCTGCCACGTTATGCCTTTCGGAATTTCTGAATAACTTAAAATGTAATTCACAGAAAAGCATTCTTTTGAGAGAGAACAATCTGAACAAATCTGACAAACACGTAACAAAATAAGTTTCCAGGCCATGCGGTCATTTAAAAAGACAAACAAACTGAGTTTAGAGGAAAATGTCCAATATTTTACAATGAGGAACACACAAAGCAGTCAGCTGATTTGAAATCTTCATGCATTTCAGAAGCAAAATGGAAGTTAGAGATGCAACTGTGGTCTGAACAATACTTACAAGATAACAACTTTACCCGACTTTTCTAAATTTCCAAGCAGCTAACAATTAAGAAAACAAGAGACATTCATTGATTTGCAAATGTTTGCTACAAATAACACCACAAAACACAAACAGAATCTATTATTGTGACCCACACAGTACATTTTCCCCTCATTTGGGGAAAAAACCAAAAACAAATAAATGCTACCAGAGACTAAGGAGCTGTGCTCTAAAACATGATATACAATAGTATCAAATTAAAGAAAGCCAAAAAATAGGAAGAACTACATGGCACACCAGACCCAATCGCAATCAATACAATTACGGATTTTGGGCATATATACTGAATCAGTCAGCGTTTCAGTTTAGATGTGTCATGCATGCAACTTAACTGTTCAAGACAAAGTAGTAGAGTTTTGCAAGTGCAGAATCCAACAAGGAAAGTACAGGATGTGATCAAATGCTATCAAGCTTGGAGGCAGAGCAAGTGCACACACACATAGTCCCCTAGGCCCAGCCCCGCTACCCCGATTCCACACCCACCCACCCACCCACACACACGCAGGCACACACACGTGCGGTCACAGGGCCTGCCACACTCAGTGCACAGAGACTCATGGCACGGCAGTGCAGCGCAGACCACCACGACACACTTGGAGGTCAGGAGGCCTGGGGTGGTCTGGCTGCTCAGCCCCGATAGTCAACGGCAAGCACTCGGCTGCCATTTCTCTGGGGTCACCAGACTGTAACCCGCAGTGGAATTAGGGACATGGCTCAGGGCGTTTCCCTACCCTGGGAGGTGAGTGTGAGTAGCAGTGAAGGTGTGCTAGAAGAGAGCCAGTTCCTAAAAACCTCAGCACATTCTCTGCTTTCTCTCACCGCTGCAGGAAAGGGCACAGACTTGATCATCAAGCTCTACCTGCCAGAAAACCAATCACAACTTCATAGAGAGTGGATAACACGTGACAGCTAGCTAGAATGCTTCAAAGCTAGAACTATTTTCACACCACGTTCACTTTCCACATCGTGAAACACTGTTCTAATAAATTTGCACAGACACACAGCACGTGGTGGGCATATCCCTCTGGACCCTGAGTACAAGTTTCATTCTCTTAAAATGTAAAGAGGACAGATGCTAACATGATGGCAGTAATTTTACACAAATAAAATGTTAAAGTTGTGCCTAGGATGTATTCCTTTGCAAGAGAATCAGAAGAGGGGGATGGGGAAGACAGGCTAGGTGGGGAAACGTACTGGGGATGGACATTCAACTGCCAAGTGCTCTCTTCAGCACTAACCTTGAAAATGTTCCTGAAATGTATTAATTTTCGAACATGTCCAAACTAAAGACAGTTTCACCTCTCTTTACCAACTGAAGGTCCTGTCTTACCTCAGGGCCACATGTGAAAAGGCTGGACTGAATCTGTATGACCTGAGCGGCCATGCTTTCCTTGGCCTGTGGAAGAACAGTGAGCGGGCTGTGGGGACACATCTCTGGAGCCCGTTCTACTGACTGCTAGCTAGATGAGGCCTGCTAAGGAAGGCTTTCCACTGGCCTCAGCTTCCTCATCTGGAAAATGAGGAACTCTCCCTTATGACCTCAAAAGCCATTGTGAGGATTCAGGGAGTTAGCAAACACAACAGCACCGAGTACAGTAAGTGGCATCTAGAAAGAAAGAAAGAAATCTTCCCTACTTCCCTGTGCACATGTCTACGTGTCCAGTCCGCTACCCATTCAACAAGAGTAAAATCAATATTCAGAATATCAGCTCTGTGTTTTGGTTTATCACTGTGAGACCGGAACCAACATGTTCTAATTATCAGAACCTCTTACTTGCGTCCCAGTTTAGCAGAGGTTTACTGAAGTCTTTCTGTAGGGAACAGTTTTCTTTAAGTGCCAGTGCTCAGAGTAAGGATGGGTCAGAATATGGCCACATTTATGACAAATACCCTCTATGCATCGCTTCAGGAATGTTAGCTGTCTTGCCCAGGCAGAAGACTGGGACCCAGAGGGTATAGCGCCAAGATGAGGAAAGAGAAAGAGAAACCAAGCAAAGCTCAGACACCCAGAGAAGGGCCATAGGAAAATAAGAACACACAAGTTCTGGCTGGTGGGATGGTAGTTTTAAAATTATCCCAAGAGAAATAAAAAATAATCATAATAAATAAATAAATAAATAAAATAAAATTATCCCAAGAGAGATGTAAGAAAGGGTAAAAACAGAGATAGGAAGGACATTGCGCCTGGCCAGGAATCATCTCACACGATATGACACCTTTTCAAGTGAGGCCTAACAAAGGGGACGGGGCTCACCAACATTTGATGGGGGGGAAGAAAGGCGATAAACTGAGTTTCAGGCTAACAGTTAACAAAAAAATCAACTACCCATCTCCCAGTTCCCCTAGTTCCAAATAGAAGGTAAGCTTTCTTGTTAAACATCACACATGCATCCTTGTTAAATCTGCTCTGAGTCCCCTTGTTTTCAGCCAATTCCCTTGCCAGAACTGAAGTGCCTCTATGTCTGCACAACTACTTCCCACAATGCATGGTGATGGTCTCTTCTCCTGGTTGGATCATTCTCACACACACACACACGCACACGCACACACAATTCCTAAGAATCTGGCTACAGCTGCCCATTCACCTCCCTCTATGTGAATGCCTTTGTGAAGAGTTCATTCACTCTCTCCCAGACATGAACACTGCCGGGTATCGATCTCTGCCCACTAAAAGGGTTGCATCAAGGTCCACTTTTATAATTCCAAAGGCTTAGGAAGCAGTTTAATTTCACATTAAACTCCCTTAGACCCAACGTTATCCATTTCCTCTGCTAAACTCCCAAATTACCTATTTCTGTCAATGGTTCTCTGTATGTCAGGCCAGAAATGTCAAACTCTCTCTTTCTCCCACTTAAAATCCTATCAATTCGCCTTTCTCAACAATGCTCATAGTCATCTGGACCCACCTACTCTCTTTAATGTTACTGATGATCATTCTTTGATATAACTCCTCCAACCATTTCTATGCTCACAAATGAGAGTACATAACATTTAAAAAGCACTGCAGTAAGTCTTTTAAAATGTGACATTTTTGATCCTTTGTGTGCTATTACTTCTTTATAATTATTACTGTTTTTTTAAAGCACATACCTCTTTTGGTAAAGACATTAATTTATTTCTGTCTGCATTCAAGTTGCTCAACTTCTTAAGTTTTCCAATGCTCTTAGGTAAGGTCTGTTAAAACAACATTTTAATTATTAATTTAATACATTTTTTTAACACGACTCACAGTAAAACAGATCTTTTCAAGGCCTTAAAGAATATCATCTCATCCAGCAAGAGACATAATAGTTCTTTCTGAATATCGGATAGGTCACAGCTCATTTGGAAGATGCAGAATTATGTATTTTGCATTTTTGTTAAAACCAGAGTATGTTTCAATGAAATGAAGTCAAAGGCACAGACCTGGAAACAGAGAAACACCTAGTAAAGGAGTAATGCTCTTCAACCTAAGGAAGAATTTTCACCTCAAGATTCATCCCTTTATTGCCTGCACCTTGGAGAACACACTGGGATATATAGCTTGGATGACCCGGAAGCCAGAGGGCTGGGGAGACCAGAATCCTGAGCAGGGGTACAGTGAGGCTGGGGGAAGGGCAGGCGGCATGGGGACAGGAGCAAGGTGAGCAGGGCTGGGAGGTGGGGCGTGCAGAGCACTCTAGGAACCAGGTGGGGTCCTGGTGGAGGGCAGAGCTTCAACGCTCTGCTGGAAGCCAGCGGCGAATGTTATGTTTACAGCTGTTATGATAACTATCTGTAAGCCTAAAACCATAAAGTAGCATCAGAAGATGGGGGCACGTCCACTACACCCGCCAGAGGAGGCTGCCCGAGCTGCCTGGGGAGAGATGTGGCTGCGCTCCCGCTCCAGCTCTGTGTCCTACCCACTCGTGCTGTCTTTCTGCTCCCTCCACCTCAAGAGCACTGCTTACTGTTTTTACAAAGAAAGGAGAAAAGAGAAGAGGATAAAGGAGCAGGGAGAGCAGGGTAGGAAATACAGTGACAAAGAAAGGTGGGAAAGTATGGTGAAGCAAACATAGCTGCTAGAGACAACGGAGAGAGGAGAGGATGGAGCGATCGGTGAGAGCCTGACGAAAGCAGAGAGCAGCCGGAAGGGAGCAGCAACAGAGCTCCGCTGTCGTCCTGCTCATTACCCACCCCCCACACCCCACCCCCGGTGGCTGACGCCAAAGCTTTGGCCTTGGGAGGATGGGGAAGCCCGGGCCAAGTGTGGGACACCTGCAGCCACCGACACCCCCGATTTCTAGGGTGGGGTAAGATCTCAGTTCCACGCTCAGCCCCGCAAAGAGCACTCATCCCCCCAGTCCCACCAAGGCTTTTCGCAGCCAAACACCATTTTCTCCCCTTCTCTCTCTCTCTTTCCATTTGCTCGAAGAACCCTGAGAGAAGGTTTCCTCCAGCGGTCCTCGGACACCGTGGCAGAGGCATCAGCACATCCACGGACAGTGGCTCATCCCCATCCCTCACTGGAGACCTCTGTCAGCGGAGCCTAACTACCACTCTCTTCACTTAAGCAGGTTAAAAGCCAATCATCTTTATGTCCTGCATTTGCTTCAAAGTCCATGTTTTTAGATGTAACATAAGAAGATTTCCACACAGTCCACCCCAATTATGAGTAAGTAGACTCTACCCTAGTCAGTCTTTATGATACAGAAACCACACTATACGTATCCATTTGAATGTGCAGCCCACACTCACCAGGAGCCGGTTTTCTGTAAGAACTAATTCAGTGAGGCTTTCACAGTCCCCAACTGCTTCAGGCAACTGTGTGAGTCTGTTCTGATCCACCTTCAAGATCGACAGTTTCTTTAGTTTTCCTGTAAAAGCATTATTTCAACTCATTACAATAAGACAGTTACAACTGTCTTCCTAATCATCACTTGGTATCTCTTATCTGTTCTTTTTTTGTCTTATTTTTTTTTTCCTCACTTGGCTTTTCACATTATGAAACCACATCTTTCTCATTTAGATCACTAAAGGTGGAGAGTTAATTTTATCAGAACATCAAAAACAGTCAGCAATTAGAAACAAATCATTTTAAAAGTCACTACATAAAAAAATCGTTATCAAAGCCAGAAACTTTACAGAAAAACAAACCGCTAGCTCTTGACGGATCCTTGAGAAGAGGAAATGTTTTGTGTACAAAGGAGAGAGACTTTCATCTTACTCCAAGAATCATCCTCACTAAAAACAAAAAATAAAGTGTGGTTTATTCTATCACCTAGGAGTGAAATTGGCTTAGTGATGGCTTCTGTAATGAAGTGGTTCTAGGTATGCAGAATAAAATGGAAACCTCTGAAACACCACATGAAGAATTGAGGTCAGGAAGAGTGGATTTTCTGGTGGTGCCCACAGGCCATGGAAAAGGGGAATGGGGTGACCACAGCTTCCTCAATATCCCCACTGAGTGAAGGAAATCCTCCAACTTTTGGATTCTCATGTTCAACTATAATCTAAGGAATGAACCTACAGAGCAGATATCCTTCATTATCTACTGAGAGAGGCTGGCATGGGGACACCGTCCCCAGGAAAATCAGAAAATGGCCTCTCTCTTAAAGGAGACATAAAGCTGGAGAAAGGAAAACGTTGAAAAAATTAACTTGCCTTGCATGTTGTCACAGAGCAGGGCAGGAGAACTAACAGATTCGTAAGCTCTTTATTTAGCATAGTCAATAAGCTACTAACACTGTCTCCAGAGGGTTTCCACCTGTCCATACCAGCAGGAGAGGCACTGGCCTTCTCCACAGGGCACACTGAATTGAATCGACAGATCTCCCTCCAATTGAAGAGTCTCCTTAACAGTATTACTGGCAAGTGGTCTTGCTGCCTCTCCTTGAACACTTCAAGTCACAGGGCACTCATCCCTTCACTAAGCAGCCCAGACTAACTGGTAACCAATATTTCATTTATATCCTTTTCTTGCAGCTGTCTGAATTAGAAGATGTGGTAACAAATTGACTTCTCTTCTACAGGACGGCCTCTCAAATGCTTGAAGTCAGCCATCTCACGCCTCCTACTTCCTATGCCCAGCAACCAAACGTCACCGACCTTCTCTACCTGGAGTCAAAATCCCTACCAATTTTCCAACCAGTCTGAACCAAAAGGCAACATCTGTGTTCCTGACCCATTGCAACGATCAGCTACTGCTTTCATCTTGACCAAATACTAGAAAGGAAGTGGTCCTCTGTCATACAGCTTTTCCAACTACTGAAAATCTTCTACAAACTTTGATATTTTGAATAAGAGTTAAACAAAGGTCAAAGACAGCAATCCTATGTTAACCACGCGGTTAAACAGTTTCTTACAACCTCTAAGTGGCTTTGCTATGGTGGAGCTCCTGGTCCATGTCTGTTTATACCTTCCCTGTGTTTATTTTCTCACACGGGACTGAATGCCTTTATGGTAAAGGAAATGTCTGGACTAATTTATTTTAAAGGAAATGGCATAGAATGGTTAAAGGAAAAGATTATTCTCAATGTACTAGAAAAGGCTCAACTCAAACACACCATTCTCCCCAGGTCATGCGATAAAGTCAGAGTCACTTTCTCATAAACTATTTAGGATGCACACTTAGAAATTTCTTAGAGACTGCTCCCATGTCTGAAACATATCTATTATTCGGACTAATCTCTACTGAAATCACTGAGACAAGATGCAGAAGAGACAGAGGAGTCAACACTTAGAAGTAATCATACCTACAACTGCTACCAAACCAGGATGACAGAAATACTTGCCTATCGAGAGACTTCAATTGCATTAGATGTTCTCCGCATTCCTTCTTTAAGAACAAATTAATGACATGGAGACTAAAGAAGCCACATCCCCAGCATCTGAGAGTGGTGACCAAAGGATCAGAGTGAGCTCCAACTGCCCGAGACAACAGCCAGCATCTTTAGTAGGCAGTTACTTTCCATACTTACCGATGCCATCCGGAATCATTTCTAGTAAGTTCTGGGAAATGACTAAATCCGTTAATGAAGTCAGGCCACTGATTTCTTCAGGAAGTCTTTCCAACCTGTTTTCAGAGACATCTAAGCACAGCAGGTTCTTCAGATTTCCTATTTCCTACATCAGTGACACAGAAAAAGAGGCTCATGCTTAAACCTGCCACAGTACAGAGGAATTTCTTACAGTGATTTTTCACAGTCAAATCCCAAAGTCATCCCAAGGATGTTTCTTTAGCGTTTATCTATATGAGAAGGCTGGAGTAAATTTCCAGACCCCTTTCCAATGCAAACGGGAAGCTGTAAAAATCACAGACACGGAGCTGGGAGGGATGCCAAGCCCTCCAACTTCAGGCAGGCTAGGAATCATTCTCACTTAACAGATGAAGAGACTGGCACCAAGAGAGAACAAATGACTCTACGGTTACATAATTTAAAAAAAAAAAAAGGAGTCTAGAATCCAGTTCAAGTTTGGAATCAATCACTTCAATAGCAGCTTATACTTCAGAGTGACCCTGAGATTTTCTCTGTTAAGAAACCATCTACTTTATATCTCCCATTACCGGTAGTACTTGTCACAACAAACATCAGTGCAACTATACCCCAGCAACACTGGGGCATCCAGATCCACTGACGCCTTTAACCTCAACAGAAGAGACAAGCATCCTGCTTTCAAAGGAAACAGACTATCCCAGGAGCAGGGAAAGTACCTCAATGAGTCTAATATTCTGCTCAAGAGATATCCTACCTTCCATTCACAAAATGCAGTTTCTCTCTTATACTTGCCTCCCCTTTGCCATTCCACTGCCCCTGTATTAAATTCCTCTGGTCATTATCTTCCACCCGGACCGTTAGCTCTGACCCTCATACTCCCTGGCCAAGTCTGTGCTACAAACTCTTGTTTCTGTATTTCCCTCCTGGAAACATAGCTGGCTGTAGGTATGCAATCAGACCACCCTTCTACCAAAAACATTAAAATGTCACGTGGCTCCTTGATATCTACATAAGTACAAATCCTTCAATCTATACTTACTTTGGCCTGATCTATTCTTTCCAGCTTCTCTCTTACCTAATACGCACCCTATGGACACGCCCCTGTAATTCCTGTCTGTAGGAAACCAGACTGCCTTTCTACTAATCTCAGGCCTGATCCTTGAAGGTGTTCTTTTTCATTAATTCGTTTTAACAATGCTTTTGTATCCTTTTCTTTCTGTCATCCATGACGACAGGAAAGTAATTCCGATTATTTAGACTATCTGATGAGTTGAGTCCTGGTTTAACAGAAGTTTATAAAGAGGGACGAATGAGACGTTTAAATAACCATTTACAACAAGATCCCTGGAATTATAATTTTTTTGTGTTCAGGATGTGGCATTTTGTAATGGTACACAATCATTTATGTACATCTGTATACACACACACATATTCTTTCCCCATCATGCCCCAGAACTGGTGTATTACTTTCCTGATAATCTTGTAGTATTTTTATTCCCCATCTGGTGACTCCCAAAGTAACCTGAATTCTCCCAACCAGGATTCCTCATAATTTCCTAGAGAAATCTAGATATTAATCGAACCTCCACCCATATCGGTTGCTAATCTGTCTCCTTTCCCCAAATGCAGCCAAGACCTTAGAAAGAGACTGCAGTTAGTTCCTCCCTTCCCTTAGTTGTGAGTGAGGTCCTCATATGTCCAGTGCTGTAACTACAGCCATAACATGTTACTGAGTACTTTCTCCTAGAGTCAGACCTCCTGCATTAACACGGCATTCCTCACCTAAAGTACACAGCACCATCACACCTGCTCCAACCAGCTGAGCATCTGATCTGCTTTAAACCTAGACCATCATGAAATATACCTGGACTTTAAAGACTGGCTGTAAGATATAGCAAAGAATAAAATTCAGTAACAGCTGGACAAAGCCTAAGTAATGGGAAAATGCTTGTTTTTTATTGTTGGATTAGTTGGCTTCTGTTTCTCTCTCACCTAAGTAGAAGGCAAGCCTGCTTACTAGGGCTCCATAAGATTATTATGTATATAGAAGTCTATGCAGACTCCATTTCATTTGGAACACGGTTCTCACATTTGGTAATAGTCGGAAAAACCTGAACACCATGACAAAACAGCTAAACCACAAGCAGTATTTGCAAAAAATTTGAAATAAAAGCTTTTAACATTTCTTTGACATCAACTATTACAGAACAGAATGTGGTTACAATCTTCCCAAAGCATGTGGCACATCACAAAGAGTGGTATAAATGGATACCATCTAAGAATCAGGGGTCCTGGCAATTTACAGATTTGCTGGGCTTGAAGTAAGCCACGTGGGAGAATGGATGAAATAAAATACAGACCTCACAAACTAAAGGATATATTTGCTATCTTTAGAAATGGTGGGTTGAGGCTTTCAATTTTTCTGTGGCAATGTAGCATGATGAATGCTTAATATATTTTATCAAATGTGCTTTTTCAACCAATGTTTTTGGTTTTCAAGATCCCCCTTATAGAAAATTTCACGCAGAAGCAGGCAATACATGAGTGGTGTCTGTGGTTGTTTTATAATTTGGGGGAAACAATGTGAAATCACCACCTACCTGAGGTAATTCTGACAGCTGATTTCCATCCAACCAGAGATCCTTTAGATGTAAGAGAGCTCCAATTGATTCTGGCTAAAACAAACAAACAAAAATAATGTTATGGTAACAAAGATCCAATGTTTAGTCTTCCACTAAGAAAGAATCCCAATTCAACAGTTAATAAATGGGTACTATAGAGGATGTTTGTTGGGACTTCTCCAATGCAAGTCCCCCATCCTAAAAGCACTCCCAAAGCTCTCCAAGAATGCCGGTGGTTTCCATTTCTGCCCGTCATCTCGAGTCCTGACCCTTCCCACCCCTACATCGTAATCCCTAACCTGTGTGAACTGAAGCACACTCTCTAATGTTGCCAAGCTGTATCTGTGAGAATACATGCCTAAAGATCACCCCTAAAGTATGTTTTGATCACACCTAAGGGCAAAATTAAATCTAAATCTTTCTTCAATACAGACTTACCAAATTATATATCTCATTGTTTCCTAAATCAAGTTCTTCTAGTCTCCGCAGCTGGGTAAGAGAGCTATTAAAAAAAAAAAAAAAAAAGGAGAAGGAACCCTTAGAGAGTACTTAGAAATGCTGAGCAATATGGTATTCCTCACTCAGACTCATTTCCAAAACTAAGACTCATTTGGACTGCATGGCTGTACATATTACCAAGGAAAAACTATTAATGGAAGGCTGGCATCTCCCAAACTTTCCAAAAGACACAAAATCTCTTTTTGACAAAGTACTGTAGTACTTTTTTTTTTTTTTTTTAAATACTTGAAGAAATTCATGTAGTACAAAATCCCCTCTTATTTTGCCCAGAGACTCACTCAGGAAGATATGTAAGAAGATTCTCTCTCAGTTCCAGGGAAGCCAGGTTATAAAGACTGGAAATGAACAAAAGAAAAACAAAATATAAGGAAAATTCCTGAGATCCTTCTTCCCATTCCCCCCCTTCATACATACACTCCACAAATAGCAATTCTTAATAAAAACCTCATACGTCACTCCCTCCCAGAAGAAAAATATCTATAACCACTGTCCCTACCCTCATTAAAAACAACATACTCTCTACCTCCCAAGTTTTAATATTAAAATTAAAGAAGCATCATCAACATAAGGCGCCCTCATTTAAATACTTGTTACATTTAACATGTGAACATAACTCAGTAGTCATCAAAGACGACCACTGCCGGGACCAAGATAGAAGCCAAATATGTGCTTCCAGACTTCAGAATGTCAAATATGTGCCATTACCATAAAAAACAGTAATGCCTTTAATCTCACAAAGGTCAGAGTTCTTCTTCCAAACATCAGTGAGAGACCATCCCTGTTTGAAAGTAGTGGGCATCTCAGTCCAGAGGGACCATGTGCTCTACTTAATATCACAAATTCAGGGCGCCTGGGTGGCTCAGTCAGTTAAGCATCTGCCTTCAGCTCAGGTCATCATCCTGGGATCCTGGGATGGAGCCCTGCATTGGGAATCCCTGCTCAGCAGGGAGTCTGCTTCTCCCTCTGCCCCTCCCCCGCTCCTCTCATGTGCTAGCTCGCTCTCGCAAAAATAAAAATAAATAAATAGAATCTTGGGGCGCCTGGGTGGCTCAGTGATTAAGCATCTGCCTTCGGCTCAGGTCATGATCCCAGGGTCCTGGGATCGAGCCTCGAGTCAGGCTCCTTGCTCCGAGGGAAGCCTGCTTCTCCCTCTTCCACTCCCCCTGCTTGTGTTCCCTCTCTCACTGTGTCTCTGTCAAATAAATAAATAAATAAATAAATAAATAAATAAATAAATAAAATCTTAAAAAAAAAAAAAGATCACAAATTCACAGAGTACCTGGAAGCAACGGTATGGAAATGACGGCCATTTAAATGCATCAAGGACAGAGTAGTAGTAACATACCTCACATGGTGCCCGGAACACAAGACTGATTGAGTATATGGGAACTGTAATAAAGCTGCTTTTATTCCTATGAAAGGCCACAATGGTGCTCTTTTCTGCAGATTCTCCTGCCTCTCGGGTGTAATCCATGCCTATCAGGAGTATGGTGAGAGGAGACAGATGTTTTCCCTGGACACTGATTATCTGGGTCGAATCTTTGCAGGCAGTGGTGGCTCTGCCTCACCAGACACCTCACACGCCCAAGGGATGTCAGCACCGGCTCGCATTACTGATTCAGAAGGCAACGGATTCGTCTATTACTCCACCAGGCACTGTACTAAGCTCTGCACCAATTGAAAACTCAAGCTTTTGCTCATCTCGCCATAGTAATGTCCAGATTTGGAGGACTTTTATTGTGTGAACGCACAGAACACAAGGAGTCAAACACTATCCCAACACTCTAATCTGCCTTAATCCTCCATTCTCCTTCCAAAATGAAAGCCAGAATCATGGGTACTAACAAAGCTGGTTTCATAACATCAGAAAACGTAAATTTGATTTGCACAAACAGTAGATACACATATGTGAAGCCTGTTTGCTTGAAAATGTATCTTAACTCGATGCTGAAATGCACAAAATCTGTATGTCCTCCAATTTTAGAAAACTCAGTACTTCACAAAGTGGAAGCAAGAAAAACTCCAAATATATTTTAAAAAAATCAAAATCCGTGCTAGTAATTATGAATTTAATGCTGACATTCTTAAGAAAAAAGTGTAGGCCAATGGGAAGTTGCAGCAATGTAGCTCTACTGGGCCATGTGTTCACACGGAAGACAGAAGAACTGGAAGGAGAGGGAGGGGAGAAGGAACCACCCAGTATCTATTTCCAAAAGCAACCTGTAGATGAGGGTGATAACTTTTGTGAAGCCTCTGTAAAAGCAAAACACTGAACAACAAAGGGCTTTGTTTTCAGTTTTCATGTAATCCCTGGCCAGTTTTATTGAGGAGGTGGTAATCGTTTGGCTATTTTCACATTTATATTTTAACAATCACTGATGAAATTGTCATTTTATCTAGTCAACATTCATTGCTTTCACACCAGTTTTGATACATGAAAGGCATATACTAATAAAAGAAGGAAAAAGTCCTTCTTTGTTTCACAAACTTTATTGGTAGGCATCACCAAATGCGCTCTTTAAAAGCAGTTTTCCTGGGACGCCTGGGTGGCTCAGTTGGTTGGGTGTCTGCCTTTGGCTCAGGTCATGATCCCAGGGTCCTGGGATCGAGCCCTGAATTGGGCTCCCTGCTCAGTGGGGAGCCTGCTTCTCCCTCTGCCTGCCACTGCCCCTGCTTGTGTTCTCTGACAAATAAATAAATAAAGTCCTTTAAAAATAAAATTAAAAAAAAAAAAAAAGCAGTTTTCCACAGGCCTTGATGCTGAGCATTGTCCTGAGGCCTCCCGCCTGACCCGGACCGTCTGCCCGCCATCTCTGGCAGGAGGCGCACACACAGCTCCTCACACACGTCATCTCTTGATTATTAACAACCTAGCTAGGTGATGACAGGCCGGTGACACAATTAGGAACGTGGCGCTTTGTGTGAATTCCATTAGAAAATGGCAAAGGCACAATTCAAGTCTGGTGGGAAGCCAAAACTCCCGCCCTCACCCTACACAGCCGTGAGGCATCTCAGGAGCCCTCCATTCTCTGGACTCTCTTCATAATTTCAGTTTTAAAAGCACCTATCAATACGGGGCAAATATGTCAGTCTTACCTTCTTAACCACACCCAGAACACTAGGATTTTTAGTGTTTTATGTCATTTTAAAAATAGGGCACACATTTTTAAATTATCTTTACATTTTCTCTTGAGGACAAAAGGCACAAGCCACGGTTACTAAAAGCAAATAATGCTTGAGCAAAAATACTGCAAAAATGCCAGCAGACTTCCAGACGTACAGAACTTGATAACGTCCCGTTACAGAAAACGCAAGGTTCCCACCACTACCACGTTAACACCCAAGTAGAACATCCTGTTAAGCAAAAAGGTTCTGATTCCAAAACTTCTTAGTCTCCACTGGTTTTGGCCAGTGGGGGAAATGGGAATGTATATGGGTGTTATAAAAAAAATACCCGATTTTTGTAACTTTCCAAAATTCAAAAATTAATTTAAAACAAAGGATATAAAATAAGAGCTTTTCTGAGGTAATGCTTCCCCATAACTTCAGACTACAGTGAGCTGTGGGCACTGGCCAACTTTTAGAAAGATAAAAGTTGCATAGTACCGGGGCAAGTACAGAATCCTACCAGCGCACTCCAAAAGATGGTTCTCCAAACTGTTCTAGTAACAGCTGACATAAAATGAGATCTGCCTAAATGCAGATTTAGACCAGAGAAATTAATACAAAACTGAATGAATCAATGAACAAATGAATGATCTCCCTTCTTAGCCTTTCAGAATACAGCATGCATCTTCAACCCGAATGTCAGGATAGTGCCTTTCCCATCAAGGAAACCTATTCAATTCAGCACAAACATCTCTGCCTCCCTTACAGCACCTAATAAAAAACATGCTCTGGCAAGTGCTGGGGTGGGGGAGTCAGACTCAGTTCTGTCCTCTTCTGAGACCAGGCTCTTAATCCCTAGGCCAAGAGAAACAAAGAGACTCAAACTCCACATGCCTTTATCAGCCACTTCAGTTAAAACGTGATAGTATGGAGACCAAAGAAAGCATCGGATGTTTCTAATACTTTTACAAATGTGAAAAAATGAGACACTTGAGACTCAATATGAGAATTACTGGTCTCTAACACTTCGACCACTAATAATGATACCAGCAGCTTACTATATGATAGATATCGTTGTAAGCCTTCCACAAGAACCAACTTTGTGGATGAGAAAACTAAGGCAGCCAAGTATTCAATAGTAAGTTTTCCTTCCACCTTCCTCCCTCATCTATCCAGTTTCCCACCACTGAGACCCTTCTCACTGAAAATGACCCTTTTGTTACTTATATATTCATCCAGAGCTTTCTTTTATGCAAAGACAAGCAAGTATCCTCCCCATCTTCACATGTAAGTTATCCCACACACATCTAGGACTTTGCTCGCACAGATTTCTTTCTTTAATATTTTTTTTTATTTATTTGTCAGAGAGAGAGAGAGAGAGAGAGCTGTGTACACAAGCAGGGGGAGTGGCAGGCAGGCAGAGGGAGAAGCTTAGCAGGGAGCCGGATGCAGGACTCGATCCCAGGATCCTGGGATCATGACCTGAGCCAAAGGCAGAGTCTTAACTGACTGAGCCACCCAGGAATCCCTGCTCACACAGATTTTTGTCTCATTTCTTATTTGTAAATACCGGTACTCTTTTTTTAAATAATTGCACAGTATATTACTTCTATAAACACCTTAATTTTTTTAACCATTCCCTCATTAACAGGTATTTTACTCTTCAATTTTAATATCTGGCAAATTAAATTTCTGTGCAATACTGTTGGAGTGACTTCATCCCTTTCCTACAAAAAACACGATTTTCTATTCTCCCTGTAACACCTTCCCACCATTTCTACCACCAAATGAGGTAAAACAAAACAATAACCACAAACAACTTAATAAGCTCTTACAGAAAAAGAGTATGTTGAAGCATTTCTTCTCACACTAATGCTTAATGTTTTACAGAGTTCATGATAGCAGGGACAAAAGTTATAATGTAAGTCAAAATGTAGGCCATCTGTATTTTTAGGATTCTGTTTCAGGGACTGGAAGAGTGGTTACTTTAAAGAATTTACATCTGTTCTCCACTATACTTTAAAAATCCCCTTTTAATCCACTTGGATTCTTTTTTTCCATTTTGGTGGCCAAAATCATTAAGAAAGTAAAAAATAAAATAAACAGAGGTAGAACAAGCAGACAAATGGCAGTATACTATAAAACCATTAAAATATACAATCTATAAACATTCATGGCAATATTACTTGACTGGAGAAAACATTATTAGGGACAGGGAGAGTTTGCT